GACCAAACCTGAATTTGTATCTGCAAACGAGTAGTATTTTTGGAAAGCCTGGTTATTTGGCTATAATTTTGCTATACATTATTTTTCTGTAGACTACAATCCATACGAGATACGAATAAAAAAGTAAACAAAAATTGTAACTATCCTTGCCCCGGTACCGGGGCAAGGATAGTTAAAAGTATCAGGATGCTAAAAATGTCATAGAAAATTAGTAAATTTTCGTTTTCTTTATTTTATTGGATTTAGACTATTCAATATTGATATATCAAGTATTAACATGTTTTGAACATTTTCTAAATATCAATTATTGCATAAAATACGTCTGAACTAAAATCTGAGGTTTAACCAATTTTCTTCAGATTGATGATCACCAATTTTTTGGTCAATAAGCTTCGTTTTCCGTATATAATTACGCACCATTATGTATATCAACCTAAAAACAACAATAAAACATTTTTTTATAATTTGCAGTCGCATTAGCAGGATTTTATCGAGCCGTAATAGCTCTAACTATCCTTGCCCCATGAGCCCATATTTCAGTTTTTTCTAAAATTTAAGGAATTTGAAAATAAATACTATATTTGTGTTCAGCAGGAAATTCTACTCTGGAAAACACTTTTGTAAATAAATATTCGAAAGCACTAATAAAGAAAACAATATGATAAACACTACGTTGACATTTTAGCAAAACAGACTTTTTACATAAATAAACTCCTTACTTCGAAAATGGTGGCAAATTGACTTCCAATTTTCACTATCATCTACTGGTGTTAAGACGCAAATATACAAATGAATGGCGCGATTTTTGAGCAAGCCGTCTAAGCATAACAGCAACTAACTATCCTTGCCCCATCCTCTCCTGTGTATTTATTTATACGAATTTTTTTTTTAATTGGATTAATTATAAATTTTTAAAAAATTTAGGTTAAAAATTTAAATGGTTAAATTATTTTCATAATATCAGATTTATAATAAAAGAAAAAATAACTGTGCAAAACAGATGCAGATCCAGGTGGTTGGGTATTTTCATCTGGTTCTAGTGTTCTTTTCTCAGCATTTGTGCTATTAGAATTTTTAGGCTGGTCTAGTTACATTTTGCGAAGTTAATCGAGAAATTATGAAAAACAAGAAAAGAATGATGATCAAAACAAAAAATAATTGAGCTACTCGAAAATGGGACAACTTCATTATCAATTGAGAATGAACAAGACGAATGAGTTTCTCGTATTGTCGTCCAATACTAGGAAAAAGCTAGATATTGGATTCAATTCCAATATTCTTGTTCGACGCGAAACTAGTGTGAAAATATTCACTACCCAAGTAGCAAGGAATATTGCTTGAATATCAAGGTTATATCAAGTGGGAAATATTTTTGTGACATTCAGGTGATATCATAATTTCCGCTTCATGGGGACATTCCACAGTGATATTCCTGTGACATTCGCGTAATATTCATATGATACTGAGGGAATTTTCCCGTGAAATTCGTGTAATATTGAGGGGATATCCCTGTGATATTGAGCGGAATATTCCTGTGATATTGAGAGAATATCTCTGAAATTGAGAGAATCTTCCTGTATTATATAAACCCAGATAACCAGCGTACTAGTACGATGCAAGTACAATACGAGTACGGCGTACTAAGCGTACTAGTACTGTACCCGCCATCTACCTCCGTAGGGTACCAGGTACTGTACTGGTACGTCGTATTATTACGCTGTACTGGTACAATACTAGTACGATAAAAGTATGGCGTACTGAAAGTCTTTTGTGAATTAGTATAACGTATCGTTATTTTACTGGTACAATACTGGTATGCTGTATAAAGTAAAAATTCTATACCCCCTCCCTCTCTCCTTCTACAATAGTATTTTAATTATTTTAATTTATTATTAAAAAGGAAAATCTTTGGGAGGACTGAAATAATAATAATTCATTTTTATTTATTTTTATTTATTTTTATTCAATAATTTTTTTTATTTATATGATATATGTCTGTGCATATATTATATAAAATATGTAACTTGTATTCTCACTTATCTTAGAATATCTCATGTTTTATATTATTCTAATTAATTAACTTTATTAAGTATTAATTGACTGCTTGCTTGTATTTAAACATTATTTCAAAAGAATTTTAAACTTGATGTTTCAAATTGTTTTGATGTTGGGTGAAACATCTTATCACATCCTAACCTATAAATATGTTATATATGTATAAGAAAAACTATAGCGTCATGTCAAAGCAAGACAACATAAAACTTATAAAAATCGATAATTTAATATAAATTTAATCACGGATATTCAAGATAAGTACAGAAGCACAAGTTACAAACGTTAAAACTCTTTTGCTGCATCATAAACCACTTTTTTCACCAACATTTATTGCACCGTTTTCAGTGACGCGTTCATATTTGACAACTGTTAAGAAAGTGGGGTTAAGTTGGCATTACCAGCAAAGAGTCACAGTACGACGTACCAGCATTATACTTGTATCGTACGAGTATGTTGTGCTTCTTATTTCAGAAGTACGACGTACTGGCATTGTACTAGTACTATACTTTTATCGAGTACTCACATTTTATAATTCTAACAGTACGACATACTTTTATTATACTAGTACTGCACTGGTACGTACATACATAATTATTTTGTACTGGTATGAAACTAGTATAATACCAGTACTCCGTACTCGTAAATAACGATTAGTACGCTTGGCTATCTGGGAAATTGTAAAATGTTGTTTGTTTTGAATATTCAAATAAAAAAATTAATGAATGGAAAAAAATATAATTTTTTTTTAGAATTTTATAAATTATTTCATCAATATCACTGGAATATTCACTCAATATCACAGGAATATTCCATTTAATGTCACAGGGATATCTTATCAATATCACACAAATTTCACTGGAATATTCCCTCAGTATCACACAAATTTCACAGGAATATCACCGCTGATTGTCCCCGTGTAGCGGACATTATGATATAGCCAGAATGTCACAGGAATATTTCCACTTGATATCGCCGTGACATTCAACCAATATTCCGTTCTACTTGGGTAGGTGTCTCCTCCACCCGAGAAGCACCTCGAGATGGGGAATCGACGTAGGACGTCATCATTGACGAGAGAGAAGCACCTCTACTCGACAAGGATGGTCCTGGTTATTGTGTGTGTGTGACAGTTTGCAATGCGAGTAACCAGGTGACCAGTCTTCCACAGAAGCACTCATATTAAGTCCGGTGTACCAGGTGGAAAAGGGAATACCTTAATCTCTCACGAAAGCACCCATAGAGTGACCAAGAATATTCTGGCGAGGAATTTGGAAAGAGTGCGAACTAATCCGCAGAAGCACCTACAGGATCAAGTACATCTCCTACTAGGAGTTTGGCGAGCCGGTGGTAATAGTAATAGACATTTAAATGGAATGGATATGTGTTAACATTATAAACACAAACTTTCAGTCTCATTAATCTCTTAATTATAATAATACTTGACAGTTTTCATTATACAGTTTCAGTCTTACAATTACCACAATACCTTCGAGTATTCATTTTATAATAATAATATAAAATAGAGAAAAATAAACAATTGAAACTAATCAATATATCAGTTAATGAAAATAAAATTAAATTTAACAAAATGAAAATAAACAAAAGTCTTTCAGTGAATTTGAATATAATATCCATTATTTTATACTATAATATTTATTTCATAATATAAACATACACTATCGGTCAGAATTTAGAGACCAAACATTTTTTGGTGAATGAAAAACATCGTAAAACATAAAATTTATAAAACCTAAAATGTTTTCTATTTATTTACTAAAAGATGATAAAATTGTGAAAAGAATAAAACTTTTTATAAGTGATTTAGTCAACATTGTAATTAGATAATTAAAAAAAACCCATTTTTAGTGTTTCATAAAAATTAGAGTAACTTTTAAAAGAATAAAAGTTTTTCAATGTTCTGGGGTTTATTTAAAAGATAGTTTTCTACAGAAAAAGAATTACTTGTCAACATTAAAGTATAATTTGTTCCCTCAAAAATGCAATTCTTCAAAAGTGAACCAAAAAAATTCAAAAAAATTTGACATTTTTTTGTCTTATAAAATATTTAAAACATAAAATTGTACAGATTTTTCAAGCAAATTGTATAATAGTTATTTATGATACAAGTGCGTAAAGTGAGTGATTATACGAGTGTAACATTCACATGAGTATAATCAGATTTACGCACGTGTATCATACAACATTTTTTGCAACACCCACCTCTAAACTTAAGTACCTATTATGAAGAATTCCAACTCTCTATTAGAATAATTTCGATTGTATAGAATTAAAGAAATCAATCGAAGATCAGGAAAAATATCATTAAGCAGGAGTGTATAAATTTAATAGTAAAGTTCGTTTTTTAATTTTGTGGTTTTGTGTGGTCTAAAACAATCCTTATATTATGTGAGAGAAATTTCGGTGCGTAAAGTAAATTTCAATGTGTAAAGTAATATTTCAGTGCGTAAAGTAAATTTCAGTGCGTAAAGTGAATCACTTTACACGCCGTTTGAAAAAGAGCTTCTTTACACACAATTTTCAGTGTGTAAAATTTAACTTTAGAGGTTAGTGTTGCAAAAAATAAATTTTTGTTGGATTTTATAAATTATGTTTCTGTTAAAAAAATATCAAATTTTTTTGCATTTTTTGGTTCAACTTTGAAGACCTGTATTTTTGAGGGAAAAAATTATACTTTAATAATGACAAGTAATACTTTTCCTGTAGAAAACTACCTTTTAAATAAACCCAAGAACATTTAAAAACGTTTATTCTTTAAGATGTTATTCAAATGTTTGTAAAACATTAAAAATGAGTGTTATTTTAAAATATCTGAATAAAATGTTGGACAAATCACTTCTAAAAAGTCTCATTCTTCTCACAATTTTATCATCTTTTAGTAAAGAAATAGAAAAAATTTTTAGTTTTTACAAATTTTACGTTTTATGATGTTTTTCATTCACAAAAAATTGGGTGATCATCATTAATGGTCATTCTAAATAATTAAATTTCTGGTGTTTTTTTTGTTATTTGTCCACTGTTCGCTCTTTTTAATTCTCGAAAACCTCCAAGAATTTGTTGAAGAGATAAACCACATTGTTCCAAAGTTTCAACATCCTCCTCTGATTGTAGTTGCATATAAATTCTGGCTCCCTTAAAAAATTAAAACAATTAAATCTAAACCAACTGAATTGAGATCTGAAATACTGCGATACGCCATCTGGTGACGGTCCCGTTGTGTCAACCATTTTTCGTTTCATCCTTTTTAAAATATCTGTAGAAGAAAGAGATAAAAAATCAAGATGACTGACGTAACGGGGTCATTTTCCCCATAATTTCCTATGATTTCAGATCCCAATAAAGACTAGAAAAATTGTTTTTTTACTAATTTTTTTAATAATTTGTGTACTTAAAATTTAAATTAGTAAATTTTTACTAATTTAAATTTAAAAAGTACAAAGAGTAAAAAAACTTGTTTTTTTTAATTTTATTTTACTTTACTTTTATAATACATTATTTATTCTTTGTAAAATTAAAATTTAAATTAGTAAAGATTCACTGATTTAAATTTTAAGAAAAAAAAATGTACAAAGAATAAAAAACTTCTTTTTTCATTAATCTTTATATATTTAATTTTAAAATATTTATGTATAAAACATAAATAATATTTATGATTGTATTTAAAATTTATTACGAAATTTTTACTAATTTAAATTTGAACTTTACAAAGAATTGAAAAATTTGTTTTTAATTCATTTTACTTCCTCGTGGAGGGAAGCTTTGTAGTCCTTCCATTTATCAAATTTTTAAAAAAGGTTTAAACAAATTTTCTTGTATATAGAAGTATATTATATGAGACCCTGATCAATTGTCCGGATGTATGTGTGTGGATCCCGTTTTTTGTGAACACGATAACTCGAAGAGATATTAACAAATTTGGGTGAAAATTCCTGGGTATATTTACCATATTAATATCTCAAAATTGTCGAGAGGATTTTTAAAAATCTTAAAAAAAATTATTTTTTGACTTTTATCAAAAAAATCATTTTTTTTTTAAATTTTTTGGTTGGATATTAAAGTTAATATATGATAAAATCTCATTCTTTGCATCAAGACGAATCGATTGGTTTATATGAAGTGTAAATTATATTATAATTTAGAAAATTAATCACAATTAAAGTCGAAAAATTGATATTTTTATTAAAATTTCAATTTTTTATTATAAATTATGTAACTATTCAATAAAATCTTATTCATTATATAAAATCGATTGAAAAATCTTATTCCTCACATTAAGACGAATCGAATTTTATTGAAAATTAATAATATTTATCACAATTAAATCTGAAAAATTTACTTTTTTACTAAAATTTGTTTATTTATTCAAACTGATAATGTTCCTCCACGAGGAAGCAAACTCTTTTGCTGATCGTAAAGAGGAAGCAAAATGTTCATGTAATGAATATCTGAATTTGCAACTTGTTATTTTTATGATAAGTTTTTTTATAAGTTGAAAATGTTCAATGAAAGAAAATTGTCAAGATATTTACAATACAAATATCTTGTAAAATAATAAAAAATTTTAATATTTAAAAAATTTTCTCTAATTCTTATATTATTATTAAATTGTACATTTTTACCTTGACTATCAATTTTGTCAATCAAATTCACAGGCTCTCCCTTGTTACACTTTAAAGTGTTATTGAAGGATGCAATCCTCACTTCTAATTTATACTGTCCATCCGTTACGGAACCACAACAATAAGTTCCAAAATTTTTTAAAACCCCAACTTTTTCTTCTTGAAATTTTGTTTGAATATAACCGAAGACTTGTAAAATAAAAATTGAAAAAATTAATATAATTAAATACAAAATTTAAATTTGAAAAATATGTATTATTAAAAACTTACTGATTTTTTTACCCTCATGATGAATTATGTCACTTATATTAATTAGATTAATATCAAAAGATGGTTCATCAATCGAACCATATCTGCCGTAAGAAATTATAGACGTTTTTTTTGAACATTTGTAATTCGTACTTCATGTTCCCGAAATTATATTCAGGTTTGGTGGGAACGCGCGAAAAAGCTCCATCAATATGTAAGATCTACAAACGTTTAAAAGTACATAATTATAAAAGTTATTAAAATATTTAATTTATAAAAAAGAAACTAATTTTAAAATAATATACAATGCAGAAGTTATTATTTTAATTATTTTACTATTTATTAATATTTATTGTATAAATATTGTTGTTATTGTTCTCTTATTTATTATTTTACTACAATGCTGATATTTATTATCAATATTTATTATATTATTAATATTCACTTAAGAACCCTATTTAAAAGGTTGAATTTTTTTGTCAAAAACAAAAAAAGAGAGGGAGAAGATAAAAACAACTAAAAAAGTCAAAAAAAAAAAAATTATTAGAAAAATTAAAAAATAATAAATTCTGTTAATTTTGGGTAAGATGTAAAAGTTATATATATAGGGTAAAATTCCTGTAGCGAACTAAGTGAAAAAAAGTTGATCGGATCGGGCTATAACTTGTACATAGTTTACCCCTACGGGCAAGTAATTTAACCACGAAGTATTGTTAGGTTTTTTCAAAAACTGTGAAAGAGAGAGGGGTTTGGATTTTTTTGAAAAATTTAAACAGTAAATTTTTGAACACTTGTAACTGTTAACCCTCTCCCTGTCCTGGGTTATCCCCACTCTAACGCTATAGAATGTATTTCCCATAGTCCCCACCAGGCGACCGAATTGTCGCTTTTTGTCGATAACGGTCAACTGGCCAGGCAGAGGGTTAAACAGAAAAAAGAAGAAAAAATTGTCCAATATGTTTTCGAAAGGTTTTTTTCTTCTCTTTCGAATGGTGCAAAAAATTTTCAAAAAATTCAAATTTTGAAAATTAAACATGTTTTCAAATTTTTTTTTAAGTTCGGCCTTTTTATTTTTTTTATTTATTTTTTGAAAGCTAAAAATGTGTATTTTTACCACAAAAAATATTGAGATATGCTTTTTTGTTATTTTCGAGATATTAATTAATTAATTAATGTTAATAAAAAATGAAATATTTTACAAATAAATAAAGTTATTGCAATCCTAAAGTAACCCATTGAAAGTTGACGTAATTCCGCATCCAACGAGCCCTATATGGACTATTTTGGATTAGAGGAATTTTTATAAACAATTGCCATGTTATCCAATTGTTTATTAACAATTTACTAACCCAAAGTACTTCATATAGGGCTCGTTAGATGCGGAATTTTGTCAACTTTCATTTAGTAACGTCAGAATTACGATAACTTAATTTGTTTATAAAATATATTATTTTTTATTAACCTTAATTAATTAATTAACTAATATCTTAAAAATAACAAAAAAGGACATCTCAATATTTTTGTGGAGAAAATACACATTTTTAGCTTTCAAAAAAAAATAAATAAAAAAAATAAAAAGGACCGAACTTAAAAAAAAAGGTCAAAACAATGTTTGAAAGAGCACAAAAAAAAGTTTGGAAAAAATATATGTCAAAAGTTTTTTTATCTACTTATATAATATTTACAATTTTTAGTTAATTAATTAACTACTAAGGTTAATAAAATATGGTATATTTTATAAACAAATAATGTTATCGTAATTCTGACGTTACTAAATGAAAGTTGACAAAATCCCGCATCTAACGAGTCCTATATGAAGTACTTTGGGTTAGTGGATTGTTAATAAACAATTGGATAACATGGCAATTGTTCATAAAAATCCTCTAATCCAAAATAGTCCTTGTAGAGCTTGTTGGATGTGGAATTACGTCAGGTTTCAATTAGTACCTTCAGAATTGCAATAGCTTTGTTTATTTGTAAAAGATTTCAATTTTTAATAACATTTATTAATTAATTAATATCTCGAAAATAACAAAAAAAGACATCTCAATATTTTTTGTGGTGAAAATACATATTTTTAGCTTTGAAAGAAAATAAATAAAACAAATAAAACAAGTTGTAAATTCAGATGTTCATTACATGAACATTTTGCTTCCTCTTTACGATCAGCAAAAAAATTTGCTTCCTCGTGGAGAAAGCAAAATTTTATAGCCAAAATATGAATTTTTGATTTTTTAACTTTCATTAATTCTTTAAATTTACCTCAAATGTATACTTTATATATATCGATCGATTCGTCTTGACGTAAGGAATAAGATTTTAGTATATGTAACCTTAAATTTTTCTATTTAAAAATTTTTTCAATTAAAAAAAAATTTTTGGAAAAAACACGATAAAATTTTTTTTTTTTGAGTATTTTTCAAAATCCTTTGGTCAGATTTGAGATATTAATATGATAAATGAGCCTACCAAATTTTATCTAACTCCATTAAGGGGAGGTTCCCATTGCGGAGGCCAAAATCAACACAAACTTTGACAATTTTTTACGGGGAACGGTTAAGACTTAGTGATGTAGTTTTTTTCTTAAATAAAGGTACATCTTTAAACTTTTAAAACATATATTTCATTTTCAAAAAATAACAAAATGGCGACCAATATGGCGCACCTAGTAAACAATGTTTTTTTAAATAGGGAAAACGGTGGGCATTCTACAATGCGCAATTTTAAGTCTAAAACAAAAACTTAACATTTTTTAGAAAGGTGACATCCTAAAGAATAGGTTATACCTATAAAATAGTTAAAAAGTTAAACAAATGACAAAATGGCGGCCAATTTTTTAAAACACTGCGTTTTTTGCCTTATTTTTTCATGTTTGACTTCTTGTAAAAAATCTTTATTGTTAACAATTGTATTATATTAAAGGTATAACCCCAGCAGTATTTAGTTAATTAATTAGCCGCAAACCCGAAGTTGATTGGTCAAATAGTTTAGACGCTACGATGCCCACCAGTTTGAAGAATCTTGTTTCGAGAAAAACGCGTTTAAAGTTTTGGTGAAAATTTTGAAGCATATTTATGTGTAATATTTGTCTACTCTTAAAAAGCGATTCAAATGCCTGAAATTCCTTACTCGGGAGTTTTTGGGGTCGCTGATTACGAATATGATATCAGATTTTCAAAATTCAAAACAGCGGATCCAATGTGGCGGAAGACTTACGACCTCAGCGGTTCTCAGCTTTGGAACGTCTGTGAGTTCAAGACGCTATAGAAACGAAAATATTCTTCGGATCAAAAAATCGCTTTACACACACATTCCGCACATATATAGCTTTCAAATAATACAATAAAAAAAATATATTTTTTTTACTCCCGCAATGGGAACCTCCCCTTAAAACCTGTTAAAGTTATCTTCTAAACAAAAAAGGGATCCACACACACACACATACATACATCCGGACAATTGATCAGGATCTCATATAACATGTTTCTATAAAGAAAAAAATTTGTTTCCGCCACTTTGAAAAGTCTTATAAGCGAAAGGACTACAAAGCTTCCTCCACGAGGAAGCAAAAGACCGAACTTCAAAAAAAAATTTTTAAATGTTTTATTTTCAAAAAAAGGTCAAAATGTGAATTTTTGGAAATTTGTTTGGAGCATTAGAAAGAGCAGGAAAAAACCTATCGAAAACATATAGGGCAAATTTTTTTTCCTCTTTCTATTTAAAAGTTTCAAGTCTTCAAAAATGTACTGTTTAAATTTTTCAAAAAAATTCAACCCCCTCTCTCTCGGATAGTTTTTGAAAAAACCTAACAATACTTCGTGGTTAAATTACTTACATCTAGCGGTAAACTATGTGACAGCCCGATCCGATCAACTTTTTTTTACTTAGTTCGCTACAGGAATTTTACCCCATATATAGATTCGTTTTAATGTAAGTAATATGTAAGTAATACAATTTTGTTAAATATTAACTTTGAATTAAAATAAAAAGAAATTTTTTTGTCTAAAATGTGCATTTTTGATTTTGAATAATTTTTTTATTTTAATTCAAATGAATTCTGTACTTCATATATATATAAATATATATATATATATATATATTAATTGATTCGTCTTAACGTAAGGAATATGACTGTACTACATATTAACTCAAATTTGCCCAATATAAAAAATTTCAATTAAAAACGAATTTTTGGAAAAAAATCCGTAAAATTTTTTTTGTGTGGGTATTTTTTAAAATCCTTGTCTCCACCTTTTCACAAGAAAACGGGATCCAAACGTACACATAGATAAAACTGGACATTTATAAATAGAATAAAATTTGTTTAAAACATTTTTAATAATTTTACAATTTGAAGGACTACATTGCTTCCTCCACGAGGAAGCAAAAAAGAATTATTTTAAAAATTATGTATACCTCATTTTCAACTATTTTTGATTGTAGTACATGGATGTGGTCAGCACCCCAAACAACGCATTGCACTTTTTTCCTTTCTTTGTTGCTTAAGTAGAATCTCAATATCTCCGATTTTCAACCTAATCTTCTTGGTACAACACTTTGTACGTAGCCAACTAACTCTCTGTAATATAAAAAACCAGTTACACTTCACTCTTCTTTTTATTTATCTTAGCTTCAACTGAATGATATAACCAAAATCAAATATAATAAATAAAATATTAAAAACATACACTGTTTTATCCCAAAACTCAACAGCTTCAGTTGCCTCATTTGATGAGAATTCCATTATTATTTATTTGCTATGAAAGGGATTAAAAAAATCAGTTACTAATCACAATGAATAAAATGATTTATAAAAATAAATTTATACTTAATACACACACACATCTATATAATATATATAATTCTCATAAATATATATATATATATATACATATGGGGCATTCCACGTCAACGAGAGACCCCCCGCCCCCAGAATAGATTTAAATGAAAAAAGTTCAAATACGGCTTAAAATTTAGGTAATTACATCTACTTTAAAATGCAAAGTGGCAAAATAAAAAATTCAAGATGGCGGATCCAATATGGTGAAAAAAGTAAAAAAAAATGCTTGAATTCACTTGAAATTTGTTACTCGGGGGTTTTTAGGGTCGCTAAACACAAATATGAAATCAGATTTTTAATATTAAAAATGGCGGATACAATATGGTGGCCGATTTTTAAAAATTTTAAGAAATTTCAATAAAACGTATCTTATGGTGCTTTGTAGGGTTGTAAAAAGTTCTAAAGGTTTTAAATTGAATTAGAAATTTAGGTAATTACTCCTACTTTAAAATGCTAAGTGTCAAAATAAAAAATTCAAGATGGCGGATCCAATATGGTGAAAGAAGTAACAAAAAAAGCTATAATTCAATTGAAATTTGTCACTCAGGGGTTTTTAGGGTCGCTGAACACTAATCTGACATCAGATTTTAAATATTCAAAATGGCGGATCCAATATGGCGACCGATTTTTAAAAATCGAAACAAATTTAAATAAAAAATGGATTACGAGAGTTCGTAGGGTTGTAAGAAGTTCCAAAGGTTTTTTATTGAGATAGAAATTTAGGTAATTAGACATACTTTCAAATAAAAAATGGCCAAACACAAATTTCATAATGGTGAACCTAATATGACAGAAGAAGTAACAAAAAAAGCTTCAATTCAATTGAAATTTGTCCCTCGGGATTAAGATAAGTAGGTTACAGCCAATAAATGCAGGACTAGTAATGAAATTTAGGTACCAACTAGTAAAAGTAAGAAACGTTATAAATCCAACTAGTAAAAGTAAGACATAGCTTCCAAGCAATTGAGGCAAGGCCAATGTAGGTACCAAGTAGTAAAAGTAAGAAAGGGTATTAATCCAACTAGTAAAAGTAAGACATAGGTTCCAACTAGTAAAAGTAAGAAAGGGTAATAATCCAACTAGTAAAAGTAAGAGCGGTTATAAATCCAACTAGTAAAAGTAAGACACAATAAAAATCCAACTAGTAAAAGTAAGACATAGGTTCCAACTAGTAAAAGTAAAAAAGGGTAATAATCCAACTAGTAAAAGTAAGACATAGGTTCCAACTAGTAAAAGTAAGAAAAGGTAATAATCCAACTAGTAAAAGTAAGAAACAATAAAAATCCAACTAGCAAAAGTAAGACATAGGTTCCGACCAATTAAGGCAAGGCTAATTTAGATACCAACTAGTAAAAGTAATAAAGGGTAATAATCCAACTAGTAAAAGTAAGAAACAATAAAAATCCAACTAGTAAAAGTAAGACATAGGTTCTAAAACTAGTAAAAGTAATAAAGGGTAATAATCCAACTAGTAAAAGTGAGAAACAATAAAAATCCAACTAGCAAAAGTAAGACATAGGTTCCAACTAGTAAAAGTAAGAAATGGTAAAATCCAACTAGTGAAAGTGAGACATATAGAGTCCAACCAATTAAGGCAAGACCAATTTAGGTTCCAACTAGTTAAAGTAAGAAAGGGTAAAAATCCAACTAGTAAAAGTAAGGTCTACTTATCTTAGTCCCGAGGGACAAATTTCAATTGAATTGAAGCTTTTTTTGTTACTTCTTCTGTCATATTAGGTTCACCATTATGAAATTTGTGTTTGGCCATTTTTTATTTGAAAGTATGTCTAATTACCTAAATTTCTATCTCAATAAAAAACCTTTGGAACTTCTTACAACCCTACGAACTCTCGTAATCCATTTTTTATTTAAATTTGTTTCGATTTTTAAAAATCGGTCGCCATATTGGATCCGCCATTTTGAATATTTAAAATCTGATGTCAGATTAGTGTTCAGCGACCCTAAAAACCCCTGAGTGACAAATTTCAATTGAATTATAGCTTTTTTTGTTACTTCTTTCACCATATTGGATCCGCCATCTTGAATTTTTTATTTTGACACTTAGCATTTTAAAGTAGGAGTAATTACCTAAATTTCTAATTCAATTTAAAACCTTTAGAACTTTTTACAACCCTACAAAGCACCATAAGATACGTTTTATTGAAATTTCTTAAAATTTTTAAAAATCGGCCACCATATTGTATCCGCCATTTTTAATATTAAAAATCTGATTTCATATTTGTGTTTAGCGACCCTAAAAACCCCCGAGTAACAAATTTCAAGTGAATTCAAGCATTTTTTTTTACTTTTTTCACCATATTGGATCCGCCATCTTGAATTTTTTATTTTGCCACTTTGCATTTTAAAGTAGATGTAATTACCTAAATTTTAAGCCGTATTTGAACTTTTTTCATTTAAATCTATTCTGGGGGCGGGGGTCTCTCGTTGACGTGGAATGCCCCATATATATATATATATATATATACTATACTTAAAATACAAAATGTATAGAATATATCATAAATAGCATTTCGCGCAGAGTCATATTGCGGCATAGAAGCAAAGTGTAATAAATATTATTTAAGTTTTAGGTATATTTGATATTTATATATTTAATGTTTTTATGTTTATGTTTAATACTTATTAGTACATTTTTACTAATTTAAATTTTAACTATTCAAGGAATAAAAAAACTTTTTTTATAAATTTTTTTATTCTTTGTACAGTTAAATTTTAAATTAGTCATCATTATCTATCTACAGGACTAGGACTTAGTCATATTTTATCTATGTATATTGAACTTTGTAAGGACTAGAACTTAGTCATTTTTTTATCTTTTCTTTCTTCTTCGTTAATATATAAGCAACTTGTAATCTTCAAAAGCCAGATTTAGTCGTGACTACTTTCGGAGAAGGACTCCCTAATTATTAAAGAAAGTTTTAAATAAAACTCTGTGAATTTACTATTTGGAATCCAACAGTTTATTAAAAAAATGTCAAGAAATTTTCAATGAAAATGTCTTATAAAATGATAAAGACTAATATCTATTTCGAACGAATCCAGATTGAAAAATTTTAGGTATCTTGATATAAAATCCTATTTCTTCACATATTAGAAACGAAACATTTTTAATATATATATACCCAGATAACCAAGCGTACTAATCGTTATTTACGAGTACGGAGTACCAGTATTATACTAGTTTTATACCAGTACAAAATAATTATATATGTCGTACCAGTACGGTACTAGTACACTGAAAACGGTGCAATAAATGTTGGTGAAAAAAGTGGTTTATGATGCAGCAAAATAAATCCCACATAAATTCCTATATGATAAATTCTTACATGAAATCCTATGTAGGATCCTATATAGGATTTCATGTAAGAATTTATTATATAGGAATTTATTTAACAATCATATATATGATCTTACGTGAGGATTTTCAATATGATTTCATGTCAGATTTTTTGTAATAATTTTTTATTCAAGAATCGAAAAAAGATTTGATGTATGATTTGATATAGGAAAATTTCTGGTTAATGATTAAGCAATGAATTTTGGTATGTTTTTTAATGAAAAAACACGAATGAAATTGACATAAGAAATTGAAGAAAAAATTGTAGGATTTCACATAGGAATTTACATAATTTATTACCTAAGAATACGTTTATAAGAATTTACATCGAATCCCACGTCACATCATGTCTCAATTTCCTATATGATTTTTTATAAGATCCTATATAGTTTCTTACATGTCACATAGGATTTTATGTGGATTTTAATATATGAATTTATGTGAGATCCTATATAAGATCCTACATGAGAATTTTCAGTAGGGTAGTATGTGTGTTATTTGGGTATATATATATATATATATATATATATATATATATATATATATATATATATATATATGGGTAAATCTCAAGAGCTGGGTTCTTTTTGTTTAAAAAAAATTATTTTCAATTTAGTCGCACACTTTTTTCTACCATAAATTATTATTTTTCGACCAAATATAAGTAAATTTTTACCCGCGTAATTCATATTTCTTAATTGCTACTCGATTTAAACCATATTTTTCATTTTTGTGGTTATGAGTGCAGGTAAACGTATTTTTAAAAGAAAATATTTTCAAACAAAGTTCCTAACTCCATTTTCCTTAAACTTAAAAACATGTTCACAATTAAAATAGAATTTTATTTCAAGGAGGAAAATGAGTTTTATTTTAAAATACACACTAATTTCCATTTAAATTAAAACTATCTTCATTTTTAAGACTGATTAAACTTACGAGTAATCTTTATAGAAGATTTTATTTTTACTGTGATAATATCCTTATTGATATCAATCGTTTTATACTCAGAAAAGCTACTCCAAGAAAGAAATCATCTCTGTGGCGAAAGAAGGACTAAAATCGTAATTGGAAAAAATATCGAAATTAACAATTTCATATAAATTTCAAAATGTTTATTAGTACCTGACAAGATGTAAATTATAATTATAATAATAATGAAACTTCATGGATTTGATATAATTTTTCTAAATAGGGGTAGATATCACCCTATCCGAGACTTTGTAGATAATTTATTTTTAAATAATACTTTTTTAAGACCAAACACATGTACATATATATATAAAAGCAACAAATTTTCCATTTTTTTTATATTTTAGGGCAATTTTACTTATCTCTTTAATTTTCGAAAATTCACAATACTTTACAACCCTTTAAAAAACACCCCCTTACATTTGCCTAAACCTACATTCATCAAAATTCTACCCGGGATCGTTCAAATATATTTTTTTCTTCAAGGGCACTTTAAACAGACTAATGAACCAATTTTCTCGTGAAAAATTGTTCAATATTAACCCTTAATGTTAATTTTAGGGATAAGCATTTTTCACACATATTTATTTAC